TCTGTTTTTTAAAAAGGCATTTTAAGGCCTTTAAACGCTTCTAACGCCTAAAAAACGCATTTTAATTTTTTGTTTTTTAAAAAGGCATTTTAAGGCCTTTAAACGCTTCTAACGCCTAAAAAACGCATTTTAATTTTCTGTTTTTTTTTTTTTAAGGCATTTTAAGGCCTTTAAACGCTTCTAACGCCTAAAAAACGCATTTTAATTTTCTTTTTTTTAAAATGGTATTTTAAGGCCTTTAAACGCTTCTAACGCCTAAAAAACGCATTTTAATTTTCTGTTTTTTAAAAAGGCATTTTAAGGCCTTTAAACGCTTCTAACGCCTAAAAAACGCATTTTAATTTTCTGTTTTTTAAAAGGGCATTTTAAGGCCTTTAAACGCTTCTAACGCCTAAAAAACGCATTTTAATTTTCTGTTTTTTAAAAAGGCATTTTAAGGCCTTTAAACGCTTCTAACGCCTAAAAAACGCTTTTTAATTTTCTGTTTTTTAAAAAGGCATTTTAAGGCCTTTAAACGCTTCTAACGCCTAAAAAACGCATTTTAATTTTCTGTTTTTTAAAAAGGCATTTTAAGGCCTTTAAACGCTTCTAACGCCTAAAAAACGCATTTTAATTTTTTGTTTTTTAAAAAGGCATTTTAAGGCCTTTAAACGCTTCTAACGCCTAAAAAACGCATTTTAATTTTTTGTTTTTTAAAAAGGCATTTTAAGGCCTTTAAACGCTTCTAACGCCTAAAAAACGCATTTTAATTTTCTGTTTTTTAAAAGGGCATTTTAAGGCCTTTAAACGCTTCTAACGCCTAAAAAACGCATTTTAATTTTCTGTTTTTTAAAAAGGCATTTTAAGGCCTTTAAACGCTTCTAACGCCTAAAAAACGCATTTTAATTTTCTGTTTTTTAAAAAGGCATTTTAAGGCCTTTAAACGCTTCTAACGCCTAAAAACGCATTTTAATTTTCGGTGGTCTAAAAAGGCATTTTAAGGCCTTTAAACGCTTCTAACGCCTAAAAAACGCATTTTAATTTTCGGTGGTCTAAAAAGGCATTTTAAGGCCTTTAAACGCTTCTAACGCCTAAAAAACGCATTTTAATTTTCTGTTTTTTAAAAAGGCCTTTAAACGCTTCTAACGCCTAAAAAACGCATTTTAATTTTCTGTTTTTTAAAAGCTTTTCTAACGTCTAAAAAGGCATTTTAAGGCCTTTAAACGCTTCTAACGCCTAAAAAACGCATTTTAATTTTCTGTTTTTTAAAAAGGCCTTTAAACGCTTCTAACGCCTAAAAAACGCATTTTAATTTTCTGTTTTTTAAAAGACATTTTCTGTGGTCTAAAAAGGCATTTTAAGGCCTTTAAACGCTTCTATCGCCTAAAAAACGCATTTTAATTTGCTGTTTTTTTAAAAAGGCCTTTAAACGCTTCTAACGCCTAAAAAACTCATTTTAATTTTCGGTGGTCTAAAAAGGCATTTTAAGGCGTTTAAACGCTTCTAACGCCTAAAAAACGCATTTTAATTTTCTGTTTTTTTTAAAAAGGCCTTTAAACGCTTCTAACGCCTAAAAAACGCATTTTAATTTTTTGTGGTCTAAAAAGGCATTTTAAAGCCTTTAAACCCTTCTAACGCCTAAAAACGCATTTTAATTTTAAGGCCTTTAAACGCTTCTAACGCCTAAAAAACGAATTTTAATTTTCTGTGGTCTAAAAAGGCATTTTAAGGCCTTTAAACGCTTCTAACGCCTAAAAACGCATTTTAATTTTTTGTGGTCTAAAAAGGCATTTTAAAGCCTTTAAACGCTTCTAACGCCTAAAAAACGCATTTTAATTTTCTGTGGTCTAAAAAGGCATTTTAAAGCCTTTAAGCGCTTCTAACGCCTAAAAAACGCATTTTAATTTTCTGTGGTCTAAAAAGGCATTTTAAGGCCTTTAAACGCTTCTAACGCCTAAAAAACGCATTTTAATTTTCTGTGGTCTAAAATGGCATTTTAAGGCCTTTAAAGGCTTCTATCGCATAAAAAAGCAGTTCAAGGCCTTTATTTATATATTTACTCCTGAAGGATATAGACCCTAAAAGTTCATAGTACATCCAAGGGTTGTTTACCTTTAAGTTGATACTAAATAGTGATGTATCTACTCGGATATGGGAGTTACACTTAAAAATTTGCTTACGTATTCAGATATTATTCAGTAACCTATTAGATGGCGGAAATATAGCCTTGATCGCTTTGAAATTTTCCATGAGGTTCCTGTTATGGTCATGGACAATGCCTATAATTTTCGGTGATGATCAGGTTAACAGTTTGGCATGAAGTGGACCGAAAACTTCATTTTTTGTGTGAATGATGTGTGTCAAGTTTCGTGGAAATCGGTTCAGATTTAGATATAGCTCCCATATGTACTTTCGACCGATTTAATGTAAATGGTGCAGCAAAGTCCCTATATATTTTCCGATTGGCACGAAATTTGGCATAACGTACTAAATTATGTCTCGAATGATGTGTGTTAAGTTTTGTGAAACTCGGTTCAGATTTATATATTTAGCTTCCATTTTTAATGGTGCACCAATACCCCTATATTTCTTTCGATTTGCACGAAATTGGCTATAGCGTACTGAATTGAGTCTAGATAGATGCGTGTTAAATCTCGTGAAAATCGGTTCCGATTTAGATATATCTCCCATATTTTTTACGTAAATTGTTCACCAATGAGCCTACGTATGTGCCATATACACGAGATAAAATTGTTGATGGCGCTTTGTGCTGCAGCATACCAAAATACATAACTTTGGTCGGTTTTATACAAATGGTACACCAAGGAATCCAAGTCTACCCAATTGTCATGGAAATGTTCATAGATTTCAGAATGGTATGTCTATGGGGTTTTGTAGTTGGTTCAAATATTTGTGTAGATCACACATTTAATTTTGCCTGATTCCATTTCAAAGGTTTTCTAAAGATGTCTGTTCTATCTACATAGTGGTTAAGGGTATCATATAGTCGGCACCGTCCGACTTTTGAACTTTCTTTACTGTTTTTAATCAGTGTAATAAAATAAAAAATGGATTTCGGAAAATAGTGCTTATGTGTGTGAAGAGAACTAAATGGCAATAAACTTGATATTAGATGTAGAAATAGAAGTGGAATTCAGAACTATAGTACAACAAATTATACAGTATTCACGATTTCCATATGAAATATTTTTTGTATTCCCTTTCCGCATACGAAGTAGCGGGCACTTTGCTAGTTTAAATATAATAATGAGTCCTACATACGACCTGAATGACGTTTTAGTGGATGATTTGAAAGGACGCTCTGAAGGGAGTCTCTATAGGCGAGCTGAATGAAGTCTCCATAGACGAACTGAATGGAGTATCTATAGACGAAGGGGGTCTTTAAAGACGCGATGAAGGTAGTTTCTATAAAAGAACTGAAGCGGGGATACTGTGTAGACGATGTGAACTGTAGGATAAAAACGGCAGCAATTAGTGGATTTTTTTTCAATAGAAAATATGTGCCTTAGTACTCTGAGGAGTAATTTTCTATAGGAAAAAATATTGAAAAAAAAAATCATCAGGACTTCAAGCAATATTTTTTTTAAACTACTTTTTTTAATTTCTCATTTGCTTGAGAAATTTGTTATTGACAAAACAATCCTCAGAGGACTGAGAAATGTCGTTATTTGAATAACGTTTTAGTGGATGATTTGAAAGGACGCTCTGAAGTTAGTCTCTATAGGCGAGCTGAATGGAGTCTCCATAGACGAACTGAATGGAGTATCTATAGACGAAGGGGGTCTTTATAGACGAGATGAAGGTAGTTTCTATAAAAGAACTGAAGCAGGGATGCTGTGTAGACGATTGTGAACTGTAGGATAAAAAACGCCAGCAATTAGTGGATTTTTTTTTTTCAATAGAAAATATGTGCCTTAGTACTCTGAGGAGTAATTTTCTATAGGAAAAATATTAAAAAAAAAAAAAAAAATCATCAGGACTTCAAGCAATATTTTTTAAACGACTTTTTTTAATTTCTCATTTGCTTGAGAAATTTGTTATAGACAAAACAATCCTCAGAGGACTGAGAAATTTTTCCTATAGAAAAATTTTTTCAATAGAAAAAATTCCTCCGGAGACAGAGTATTTTTTTCTATAGATAAAACAATCCTTTTGAGGACTGAGGAATTGTTTTTTTTTTTCTATAGAAAAAAACGATCCTTAGAGAACTGAGTGAGGAATTGTTTTTTCTATAGAAAAAACAATCCTCAGAAGACAGGATTTTTATGAAAAGGATGGTTTTCCCTGTTATTGTTTTTTCCCCTGAATATTGTTTATTTACTGGGTATTATTATTTTCAATCTTTTCCATTAACAAAAAAATCACTTCTTTAATTTACTTTCTACAAAAATTAAATCTTTCTTTATTTGATTTTTTTATTATTATAAATTTTTAACAGCTACATATAAAATATTAATATATAAAATCATCTTACATTTTGTAACTAAACAAAAAATAAAAAAATACAATAATAAAAATAATATATAAATTAAAAAATAACTTAGCATCTAATCTCAGATATCTAACTATTTACAAGAAACCAACAAAAAACAGAGCAATGTTGCATTTTTTCAAGTTTTCAACTACAGACGATTAAATCATTAGCATTCTTTTTCTGTTTTAGACAAAAAACAAACAAAGAAATAAATCTATTTTTTATTCTTAAGGAATTTTTTACAAACAGCATGGCACTTTAAAAAAACTACAAGACGTCCTACTATTTTTTGTTTATATAAAAAGTCAAAACTGCAAAAATAATATACAAAAATCACAAAAAAATATAAATAACCATTCGGTAAATTACTTCGTGGTTGGGTTTCGTTTTACAAATCAACTCTTCTTTTCCTTTTTTCTTTAAACAATAATGAGAAAAGTGTTATTTTCAACTTAAAATAACTTATTGGTATACACGGGGGTGGGGGATGTTATAGAGTGTTGTGAGAGCATCTGAATTATAACAGTTAATCTTTGAGATACTGTTCCAATGGATTCGATCCACTTAATTTAGGAGTTTTTGATGAATTTTTGTCACCTAAAAAAAAAAATTATTTTATTTAGTAATTATTCTTTTCTTTTTCTTCTTTATCTTTACAGATTTTTTGTTTCTTTTTCCTTACTTATTGAGGTGTTTTGTTGCTTGACATCATTTCGGGCACCACCACCTCCACCAGTTGTGATCTCCATTCTGGATGTTTGCAGACAACTAATCCATTCGTTCAACGTTATCTTCTTATCACCGTTGACATCACAATATCGTGGCATTTTGCGACCACATTTACGCAGATTACTAGAAAATTGAATGAAGGTGTGTTGAATCAGTTCTATTTCTTTTTTATTATTTCAATAATTGTTACTTACTTCACTGTATTCATCAATTCTCGAAATGTTTTCCATTCTTTCTTTTCCCAAGCTGAGCTTTTATTTTTATCCAATATAACAAAACTTAATGTGGCTATGCGTTCATCTTCTGAACTCCAGTTGGTTGTATTTACACTGAAAGAAAAAAAAACAAAATAATAAGAATTTTATATAAAAAAATATTCCTTAGTGCACTGATTATAGTTTTTTCTAAAGAAAATAATTCCTGAGTCCGCTGATGACGCCTTTTTCTATAGAAAAGAATGACCTCAGGCTGCTGAGGACTCCTTTTCTATACAAAAAAACTCTCAGTCCGCTGAGGATTCGTTTTTCTATAGAAACAAATTTTCTCAATATGCTAAAGATTCCTTTTTCTATAGAAAAAATATCCTTCAGTCCGCTGAGGACTCCTTTTTATATATAGAAAAAATGTGTTCAGGCCGCTTAGGACTCCTTTTTCTATATAGAAAAAATGTCCTCGGGCCACTGAGGACTCTTTTTCCTATAAAGAAAAAATGTCCTCAGCCCACTGATGACTAATTTTTTTATAGAAAAAATGTCCGCAGGCCGATGATGAGGACTCCATTTTTTATATAGACCGCTGAGGATTCTTTTTTCTATATAGAAAAAATTCCTCAGGAATCCTTTTTCCATAGAAAAATGTCATCAGGTCGCTGAGGAATCATTATATAAAAAAGTTCATACAATAAAACATTTCCTCAGTCCATTGAGGACTCATTTTACTAAAAAAATTGTCCTCAGTCCATAGAGGACTTTTTTGTATAAAAGGTTATGGAAGATGATGATGATGATATACATACCCCGCATATGAACCGGTTATGATTTTTGTTCTTAAAAATTCCTTGAGATCTTTAAGGAATATAACCTTCCTTTCTTCGGGACAGCCCTTCATGGCTCTGGTGACTGCATAAAATGAATCACACTGGGGTCGAAGATGGGTGAATGTGCCCTCTATTGTTTTACCCGTATCCTCATTCACACACCAACAATACGGCGTAGAGTTGTAACATTGGATACGTTGGTAGCGGCCGTCAGGAGTACAGTCTGGTACATAATATAAATTATTGGCATGCTAAAGAAGAGGAGAGAGAGTACACAATAAAATGAGAATTATATATATTGTGAATGTGTAGACTCGCCTACCTTTTTCTCTTCCAAAGCTGCCGCCTGATCAGCTAGGCAATCTGATTCGATATCAGATTCCTTCGTCGCAATCTCAGTTGGGGGTTTTAAAACTTGAAAAAGATTCCCAAAATTTATAAAACAAATTCAAAAATTATTATAAAAACCCCAAATACTAAACATGCCATGCTCTCTCAACAACTATGCTCGCAAACGATGTTAAAGGAAGAAGAAGATGAACAAGATGATGGTTGTGGTGGGTGGTGGTAATGATGATAGACCCAGATGGGTGGGTGAGTCGGTGGGTGTGTGTGAAAGGAAATAACAAATTTTTAATAATCATCGGTGCCAAATTATATAAAGTGAAAATGGGAATTAGAAATTAGGCAAGAAGGAATATAAGAAGACGGGGAGATGGAAAGGAGAAGTAGAAAATAAAAACATAAATATACAGACATACATACATACGTAATATTATTTATAAACATGCAAAGTACGTACTATATATGGATGGAAATTTCGTCGATGAACCATCATCATCGGAATCTTCGTAATCATCGCCATCTTCGTAGTCCAAATGTTGGCTACTGCTATCATCATCATTATCAGCAGCAGCATTGCTTTCATTGTCCTCATACGAATCTGGACGTAAACGATTTTGATGGTTATTATTGTTGTTGTTATGATGATGCGGTATGTTGTTGTTATTAATATGATGATGGTGGTGTTGTGGTGGTTGCTGTTGACTGGACGTGCTCGTGGAGTGGTGGTGTTGTTGCTGCTGATTGTTGTTCGTATTGATCGCGGATGAAGAGGAGGCGGAAGGATATGCCGTGTTCGAGTGTAAAATATTATTGTTTTTGCGATGCTTTGTGTTATTGTTGTTGTTATGTTTTTGACCCATTATTAGTAAATGACCTAACAGCGGAACACATTTTGATTTTTTCACAATTATAAAATTATAAAAAAAAAACATTAGCCAATTGTTGTTGCTTTTAAACCAATTAGATAATAATAAGAAGAAGGACATTTAAGACCAAAAAAGCCCGAAAGTATCATGCGAAAATATTTTTTGATTTTATTTATAAAATGGACCCAAACATTTAGAGAAATTAGACATAAAAATAAAAACAAGGCAGACATAAAAAATAGAGGGGCCTGGGATTTTTATGTTTTTGTAAGATGATGTCGTTACTTACGGTTTGATCCATCCTTTGCAAGGCAGCTATTCCATTCCACACGTGATAACCGTTCATCACTATCGACATCACAAAATTTTCCAAAAGCCCGACCACAGCGTTTGGGTTTGACAGCCTGCGAAAATAAAGAGAAAGTACTCGTTAGTCATTTTCTATGATCGATGTAGATTTTTTTATATGGATGGAATTTTTTTATGTATGAGGATGGCTTTTCTATAGAAAAAAACCATCACCGCATCTCAGAGAATGTTTTTCTACTTTTGAGGATGAGTTTTTTTCTATAGAAAAAAAATCTCAGATCTTTTTTTCTTTCTATAGAAAAATTCCTCAGACTTCTGATGATGTTTTTTAACTTCTCGTCTGCAACTTACCCTCTTCACCAATTTCTTCAATTCACGATATTCATTTTTATCCAACATTTGATTACGATTCACATCCAAATGGGAAAATTTCCAATCCATTACCTCCGTATCGCTGGGTGGACTGAAAGTGTCCAATGGCGATTTACGATTAGCGCCACCACCACCCATATCACGCTGGTGGTACTGGGTACTCTTACTACGAATGTATTCACTTTGAAAGACCCGAATCAAATGACTATTGAATGTGGCACGATCTTCTTGGGTGCAAGGTCGCTTGCGATTTCCACCATTATTTCGTGACGGTGAACGTCTAACATTTGCTTTGGTAAATTCACGACATTTCGGCTTTCCCGTCCTCACCGAAGTGTTATTAATTGGACTGCCTAGTGAATCGCTACACCAACAGCCCTTATCCAAAAGACATTGTATCGGAGCATATGTACCATCCGGTTTACAGCGTGGAATAAATTTTGGTGGTGGATATTTGTTGCGATTTCTGAGGGCATATTCACGTGCCTCAGCACAGGCTAATGGGGGATGAAAAACAGTGTTTTAGGTTAGGAAGGATATTTCTCGTAATTTATAGGTGTTTGTTTTTTACCTTTACAGGGTCCTCGATATTTAAGGCTAACTTGATGCCCACTGCATTGTACTCTTAACAGATGGCATCGGGTGGGATAGGTTTGATCATCGGTACCACATACCGGTCGTCCTTTGCTTTCATCACATTCTCCCAGCTTGGCAGCACATTCGGAAATCTAAAAGAAAACAATTAAAAAATGAAACAATAGTTTTAAGAAATAGGTTTGGGGTAGGCGTGGGGTTTTTAAAAAATATTTTTTAGGGTTCTACAGAAGACATGTTTTTTTAATCTGATTTTTGGGATCCACATCAGGCGTGAATTATTTAAAAAAATTAAAGATCCCCAACAGGCGTGAATTAAAAAAATTAAGGATCCCCAACAGGAGTGGATTAAAAAACATAAGGATTCCCAACAGGGGTGGATTAAAAAATACATATATTTATAGGGATCTACGAAAGGTGTGGGTCTTTCAAAATATTTTTAGGGATATACGAAAGGCTTAGGTTTAAAAAAATTAAAATGTTATAAAATTATGGATCCACAAATGTCGTGAGTTAAAAAAAACTTTTTAGGGATCCACAAAAGGTTTTTTAATTCTATTCTTAATTTGCTTTCGACCCCTTTTTTCTACAGAAAAAATCCTTAGTTCGCTGAGGTATATATTCTGTCTATATTCAGCCAGGCTGAATTAAAGTTTTCCTAAAGGAAACCTTATTCAGCCAGGCTGAATTGAAGTTTTCCTAAAGGAAACCTTATTCAGCCATGCTGAATTGAAGTTTTCCTAAAGGAAACCTTTTTCAGCCAGGCCTTTTTTGTACAGAAAAAATCCTTAGTTCGCTGAGGTATTGTTATTAATTTGTCTATAGAAAAAAATACCACATACATTTTAAAATATCTCACACCAAACACTCTTAAAAATTAACTTTGTAAAAAAGATTCAAACACGAACCTGCATAATCCAATGAATTAGAAAAAAAGAACTGTATTATCAATTAGTAATAAAATAAACAAATGACACAAAGCCCGTGGCCATAAAAAATCATAAGGCACTCTAAGCCAGCCAAGACCAATGGATGCGGAATGTCTGGTGGCAGGCAGCAACAACTTGGCGAGTGAGCCATGAAGTAGACTGGTTGGTCGATCGGTCGGTCCTATAGCCCAAAGCAAGTGTAAAAAATATTAAAAAGCCAGTCCGTCCGTCAGCTACTTCAAATGTGCTGTGCCATAATCGTTAACAAGACAATTTGTAGTTATGAGTGAGTGACGGACTTGCGACTCCATAATTTATCTCTAAGTGTGCGTGAATTTTGATAAAATTGATTTTTTTCTATTTTCAGATTTATTTATTTTGTTTTTTTTTTTTTTTTTACTTTGACAAAGTCGATTTGTAATGATTTATGTTTCTTTTTCGGCTGAAACTTGAAATACGCGAAATGTGTAAAATAAATCCTTTCAATATTCACCTATTTTAGATGAAATTTGGTTGAAAGATTTAAATCTTTGTAGGCTAACTGTGATAACCCAATGCAATCTTAGAGTTATTTTTCCCACAGAGAGGGGTTTAAAATTCAATCTTAGTTGACACTAAAGATCCGATTTCGAGAAAAAAAAAAACAGAAGCAAACATGTGCCATTCCATGCTAATTAGAATATTAATTCCAGTTCTGAGGAAGTTTACCCTAAACAATCGTATCTGTGTGTTAATCATATTTCTAAGACCTCATTAATCTTTCCATTTATTTGTTTATAACTTCTAAATTAGAATTCAATTAATTAGTAATTATACCGCATATGGTTTACATTTCGATAGAATTAAACCAGTCGCCCGGATGATTGAATGGCTGGCTGGGTTTTTGAAATATTTATAGCAATCACTAATAACGCCCTTTTTCTGCCGTTTTACAAAAATAGCATGGAATAAATTTTAATGCAATTTCTCGATCTCGATTTTAGTTAAACGGCTTTCTTTCTTTGAAGCTCACAAAATTCGAATGCAATCGGAATGTAAAATATGTGTACATGGCACTGGCTGGCGGTTGCCATAGCTAATTTGCAGTCAGACCAGCATGGTGGTCGCACAGCGCCACTAATATGTTACTGATTTTTTAGCCATATGCCAGTTATGACTATGGAAATAAGTAGAACGGGTGAAAATGATAAGTTAGATTGATGTTTTCCTAAGGGAAACCTTATTCAGCCAGGCTGAATTGAAGTTTTCCTATGGGAAACCTTATTCAGCCAGGCTGAATGAAAGTTTTCCTTAAGGAAATCTTATTCAGCCAGACTGAATTGAAGATTTCCTAAAGGAAATCATATCCAGCCATGCTGAATGGAAGATGTCCTAAAGGAAATCATATCCAGCCATACTGAATGGAAGATGTCCTAAAGGAAATCTTATCCAGCCAGGCTGAATGGAAGATTTCCTAAAGGAAATCTTATCCAGCCAGGTTGAATTGAAATTTTCCTAAATGAATCCTTATTCAGCCAGGCTGAATTAAAGTTTTCCTGAGGGAAACTAAAGGAATCCTTATACAGCCAGGCAAAAATTAAGTTTTCCTAACAGAATCATTATTCAGCCACGCTGAATTGTAGATTTGCTAAAGGAAACCTTATTCAGCCATGTTGAATTGAAGTTTTCTTAAAGGTAATCTTATTCAGCAAGGCTGAATTGAAGTTTTCTTGAAAGAAATCTTATTCAGCAAGGCAAAATTGAAGTTTTCCTAAAGGAATCCTTATTCAGCCAGGCTGAATAGACGTTTTCCTAAAGGAAACGTTATTCAGCCAGGCCACCCATCCTAACTTATCGATCAAATCCTCCTTTTTTGTGGCTCAGAATGTCATAATAAATCCCAATCCAGTTTCTGTGTCTGTGTCCAGCAGCTAGGCGGCGCCTCTTGGTGGGTTTATAGATATTCAAGATTGAGATGTGACATGGACGACAACAGAATGCATGGCATGGCAGTCGCACAGATAAGCACACAAACAAAAAAACATCCATGGCTGGCGCATTGCACACATTTGCAACAGATCCAAGTGTTAGATAAAGAAATGATGTGCAAAGAATTTAATTAAGATTTGTCCCGAGTGTTCGGAATAAAAATTACCGTAGGTGTTGTCAATGTTTTAAATTATTTAACGCCAGCCAGCCATACGACTAACCAACCACAGGAGATGGCGGAATCTATGCGAACAACGCCATGCGCCAGCCAGCCAATCTAAACCACTGCTGTCGTCGTTCCTGATCAACAAGCTGTGCGAGTGGTATGCAAGAAATCATCAAAGCCAACAATAAAACGAATTCCAAGCTAATCAGAGGAAGGAGAAATGTTCGGAATTCTTTTCTAAAACAGAAACAACCGCAAAGAAATCAGTGGTGGTCGCGGTTTGTGTTACTTTTTTCAAGTAGGACTAATGAAATAATTTCTTTCTCAAGCTGTTGTCTTAGTAGCGCATTTGAACAGAAAAAATATGACCACTATCCACCACCCCACATTTACCTGCCGGCAAGCGAAGTTAGCCTCCTGATGATTGGTGTCTGTGTTGTTGTGCTGGAAATGGCATAGAAACTATCGAAGAGTCGACGGGATTGTGCAATTATGTTAACTTGTTAATCACTCTGTCTCTTGTGGTCTAGTGGAACTACCCATAAACACACCACACATCGAGACCATTTGGACCGTATTCGTAATACTAAATGTCGTTTGAATGTCCAGTCCACCATTCAAGCCGACGATTGCATTCGTAATTTTTAATTGTCATTTCATGTCTGGAGTTGTCTAGACATTTAGTTACATGAATGAGAGCTCGATGGGTATGTACGCAAGTATGTGCAAGCATGGCTTTAGTAGATTTTTTTAGATTTCAGGTCATTTATTTCCGAGTGATTTAAAGCTGAGTTTAAGTTTTCCTATAGGGAACCTTATTCAGCCAGACTGAATTGAAGTTTTCCTAAAGGAAATCTTATTTAGCCAGGCTGAATTGAAGTTTTCCTAAATGAAATCGTATTCAGCCAGGCTGAATTGAAGTTTTTCTATAGGAAATCTTATTCAGCCTGGCTGAATTGAAGTTTTCCTATAGGAAATCTTATTCAGCCTGGCTGAATTGAAGTTTTCCTATAGGAAATCTTATTCAGCCAGGCTGAATTGAAGTTTTCCTATAGGAAATCTTATTCAGCCAGGCTGAATTGAATCTTATTCAGCCAGGCTGAATTGAATCTTATTCAGCCAGGCTGAATTGAATCTTATTCAGCCAGGCTGAATTGAAGTTTTCCTAAATGAAATCGTATTCAGCCAGGCTGAATTGAAGTTTTCCTATAGGAAATCTTATTCAGCCAGGCTGAATTTAACATTATTCAGCCATGCTGAATGGTAGTTTTCCTACAGGAAACCTTATTCAGCCAGGCTGAATTCAAGATTTCCTCTTTATTATCGGTTTATCTTCATTTCGAATTACTTTTTACCCGGTGTAATTGAATAACCCCAATATCAGCAACCACCACCCTATTTAATTGTTAGCTGAGCAGTAAATTACATGAATAACATTTGTAATAGTTCATTCGGAATCGGATCGATATAATTTTTTTCGTTTGCTTATTACCTGAAGCACCACACGATGGAGTTCAGCACGCGTCTTTAATCACACACACTCAAACACACGTTTTCCACCGTGTAATCGGATATAGAAGAGGGCGCAAGCGCTCTCATCAACCAGTAGTAGGTTGCATTGTTGTTGTTATTGTTCTTGTACTAATCGTGTGTAACTGCTCAGAGTAAACAAACATTGATAGGTTCGTCTTTGGTTACAATGAACTTGTACTCTGATTTATATCTAAGAGGAACATTGAGACCAGTGATTCAAAACCAATACCGAATGACTAAGCTTTTGTTTTTGATTGACAATAAAGTAAATATTTACAAAACCAAACATGATAAGATGTTGGTTAGAAATGTGCATCGGATAGGTGAGGTGTATACACACAAAATTACTCATGTCAAATTGTCGACATTCTATAGACCTTCGATAGAAGTCCTACTGCTGGTATTTAATTGGTAGAAGAATTTATAAAGGTATCCAAAGGGCGGATTTTTTCCAACAGGAATACTTCAATTCAGCCTGGCTGAATAAGGTTTCCAATAGGAAAACTTCAATTTAGCCTGGCTGAATAAGGTTTCCAATAGGAAAACTTCAATTCAGCCTGGCTGAATAAGGTTTCCAATAGGAACATTTAAATTCAGCCTTGCTGAATAAGGTTTCCAAAAGAAAAACTTCAATTCAGTCCGGCTGAATAAGGAAAACTTCAATTCAGCCTGTCTGAATAAGGTTTCCAATAGAAATACATCAATTCAGCCTGGCTGAATAAGGTTTCCTATAGGAAAACATCAATTCAGCATGGCTGAATAAGGTTTTCTATAAAAAAAAACATCAATTCAGCCTGGCTGAATAAGGGTTTCTATAGCAAAACATCAATTTATTCCGGCTGAATAAGGTTTCCATTAGGAAAACTTCAATTCAGTCTGGCTGAATAAGGTTTCCTTTAGGAAAACTTCAATTCAGCCTGGCTGAATAAGGTTTCCTTTAGGAAAACTTCAATTCAGCCTGGCTGGATAAAGTTTCCATTAGGAAAACTTCAATTCAGCCTGACTGAATAGGGTTTCCAATAGAAAGCTTCAATTCAGTCTGGCTGAATAAGATTTCCAATATGAAAACATCAATTAAATAATAACAATAATTGTTGCTTATTAATAAATTTTGCTTATGTCGAACACATCATTCCACTTTTGCTTCCAGCATATAAAATGTTATTGCATGGATGAATCCGATCCGTTTGCAATTCACACAAGTATGTTATACAAACAATAGATTAGGGTATAACAAATAACTAACTTCATAAACTTCACACCCCGAAATTTTAAAGGATTTGAATTCTTAATTCGAATGGTGATTAAAATAGGAGCGCACAACAAAACATATGGACGATGCAGGCAGGCAGTGTAAATCCCAAGAAAACACTTCAATATTCCAGGTATTGAAATGGTCATTCGATGCCTCACAAATCATACAACAAAACTACAAATTCTTTGAGAGTATTGGTTGCAGCAGTGGTTCTTCGTTCGGGTTGGATACCACCGAAGGTTAGCATGGATGGATGATTGCATTTGTGTGACAAAAGACAGCAACAACAACAACATTGTATATAAGAGGGGACACCTGAAAGAGCCTGTTGTGTGCTTCTCTTTGACGAGGATACAAATAACTGTGTGGGGGTAGTGAGTATCGCGGGGTTTTCTTCGTTTTTTTTCTGAAATCTGCTTCTGCTGTCAGATTCTATAAAAAAATATATTTGGTACTCCTCGCCTTCATACTTTATATGATATTCTGCTTCTTCTTCAACATGACATTTTTTGTATGGTATCAAGAAGAACAACAACGAAAACATGGGAAAAGAATTAAATCCCATAAAAAGGCCCGCTCAGTTCAAGAAGATCACCTGAGCAACGTTAGGGGGGTATGAGAGATTATCGATTCTGAAATTATCTATTGTATAAAAAAGATGATCTATATATGGGTCCTGTATTAGGTTTACAACATCCCAAAATATTAAAGTAATGCCCATCAGATATTTATATAAACGGTCAAAAAAGTATGTTTTTTTTTAAATCCACACCTGTAGATACCAAAAAAATATTTAAAAAAATCCACGCTTGTAGATGATTAACAATATAGATTTTTTTCTAAATCCTCGTTTATAGATTACTCGCATATGCCCCCAACATCGTTAGCGAATGTAGGAAATATTTAAACATGTATTTACATATTATCCACACATTAAAAACTAAGCAATCCACACATTAATAACGACCATAAATTAAATTTGATTACCTTTTAGTACCAAATTTCATGATTTGAGCTCTAAAGGTTCAACCAAATCCAAATTTTCCATTCAGCACACACTATTTCCATAAGTACCCTCTTCAACCATCCTACAAAACTTCATACATACCCCGATCTTACACCCCTACAATGATTCCAAATTCAAATTTCAGGATTCCAACTCTATTGGTTCACCCACAATTTAAATATTACCAAATTTAGTACACAGTAGTACGAATTTTCAAAACTTCCTACATACCCTAATCCTACACCCCGATAGTGATTCTAAATCCATGTTTCAGGATTCTAACTCTATCGGTTCACCCACAATTCAAATTGTACCAAATTTAGTACACAGTAGTACTTATTTCCCAAACCTCCTTCCAACCCCAAACCTACACTCCCACAGTCATCCTAAAACCAAGTTTCAGGATTCAAACTATTAGTGCACCCGCAATTCAAATTGTACCAAATTTAGTACATAGTTGTACCAATTTCCAAAACTTCATACATACCCCAATCCTACACCTCCACAGTGATTCTAAATCAAAATTTCATGATTTCAACTCTATCGCTTCACCCACAATTTTAATTATACCAAATTTAGTACACATTAGTACGAATTTCTTAAACTTCCTACATATTTCAATCTAACACCTCCACAGTGATCCTGACTCCAATTTTCATAATTCTAGCTCTATTGGTTCACTTAAAATTCAAATTGTACCAAATTTAGTACCATTTAGTACCCATAAGTATTAATTTGTTAAACTGAATCCTGACCCTAATCCTACATCCCTACAATAACTCCAAATTTCATTGTTCCAGCTCTATCGGTTCACCCAAATCCAAATTGTACCAAATCCTACACTCCGACGGTAATGTTACTTTCAATTTTCAGGATTCCACCTCGATTTGTAACTTCAAATCAAATTTGTACCAAATATAGTAAATTTCGTACACATGAGTACACGCTTTCCAAACTCTCCTCATATCGACCCTACTTCTCAACCTTAATTTGCATTCCAAATTTCAAGTTTTTAGCTCAATCCATTCACATGCTACGAAATTGTACCAAATTTAGTACATTTTAGTACTTTTCGGATACTCATAATCCGAATTTCCAAAAAGCCCTTTACACTCTATCAGTGACCCTCAATCCAAATTTCAGAGTTCTAGCTCTACTGGTTCGACAAATACAAATGGTATCACATTTAGTACTTTTTGTACCGTTCTAGTACGAATTTCCAAAAACCCTGCCTTATCTGACACCTTTGGACCAAGAGTATATATATATATATATATAATCATTTCTTTTTTACATAAATATATAAAATAAATATGAGTGTATAAACTTACCGTTAAATCGGGACGCTTAACATTTCCAGCCGAAGCGAAACGCATGCAAATCACAAACAGCAAAATGCTTCTCAGTATCATATTGTCCAGAATACAGAATAGGGCGCGTCGAATTCAACGAAATTCTTCTTTTCTTCAACACTTCTCTTGAGTTTTGGCAAATTTTCAATGCACTTTTTTGTTTTTATTTATTTACAGTTCGTTTTGTTTATTTCAATTGTTTTCATATAAATATCCATGGGATTTATTTCGCAGAAGTTCGATACGTTTTTTTCACTGAAATCCAAAAAAAGAAATGTTGAAATCAATATTTTTTCTTTTAAAACCACACCACAATTGCAGAATACAATTCACTTTCATTGAAAATGTATCTCTCTAGGGAGAAAAGCTACCTTATTTTTTGAATTTGTTCGGGATATAATGGCGCCCAACTTTTTTTTATAATAATTACAACAAAACAATAATTATAATAATAAAATTTATAACACTATTTTCCGCACTATATAACAAAATCATAAAATTCTCAAGTCGATTTATTTGTTGTGTACAATAAAATATCCTATTAATGTGCACCGCCACAGCTCTTCTTAACTTCGATCAACAACGTCCGACAACAACGCGCAAATGCTGTGAACTTAACAACGACTGGAGCACAACTGAGTTGAAAAAATTCAAAGACCCAACCTTGGCTAAAATATAACGCGTTGTTCGCTGGATGGCTGACTGGCTGGCTGACGGTTTGGTTGGTTGGCTGGCTTGCTTGGTTATCTGTTAGATGCATGCAAACAACACAACAGCAACAACAACAACATTTGGGCAAGCACAATACCTAACTACGATGAACTTCTGTGGTCGCCCCTATGTCTGTTGTCGTTGAACGCTCTTCTCTTAGTCACACACAAGGTAGGCTGGTCGGTTGGCTGTCTGACTGGCCGGCCGGCAGGCTGCATTCTCTGTCGTCCACTAAAACCTGCAGACAGACACACAAATGTATGTGGCAGACCAAACCGAACCGTACCACCATACCCATGTCCATCCATCCAACCCCATCCATCGAATAAACAATTGCATTGCCATGCCGCTTGCATTTTGCCTTTTGGTCCCACGAATGCCTAACACGGCGGGTAGTACACCACCAAGTTCTGCTGTATTGCCCAGCCAAGCAAGCCGGCCAGCTTAACAGACATCGTGGAGCAGCTTGGCATACGGCACGAAAAAGACAATCACAGACAAGCATGTCGCCACTATGTCTACCGTGTCTGGCATATCTTATCTGAACCCCTCCAAAAAAATAAAACTAAAGAACAACGAAAAACCTCCAAGAACACCATCCATCCATCCACAAAGTCATTCATTTAAGACCGAACGATCGACCGACCAATACATTAACAAAGCCGCCGCCGACACCACCAACAACAAAACCATTGCTGCAACAATTGACCAGCAGGACGGACGGACGGACAACACCTCCTCCTCACACGCTCAAGAAGAAAACAAAAGAATGAGAAGCAAACCAAAAAAAGAAAACAAAAATCGACAAAACCTTTCAATTGTCAAGAATAGAGGAGAGGGAATCCTAATGTGGCAAGACACAAGGAGCGCGAATGCAGAGCGTGTGTGTGAGAGAGAATAAAAAACATTGAAAATAAAAGCAACAAGATGTGAAAAAAGTCTTGGGGTCTCCAACAAAATAATAACCAAACAACCATCCATCTGGGTAAAATCAACCGACCGTACACCGTTTCCAAGGGAACTCGAAAGGTAGTCAAAGAATATATGAATAAAAAATTCACGCATATAGATAGGCCCTAATATTATCTATATAGACCCTAAAAATTATCTATAAAAAATCCACGCTATTGGATAGACCCTAGACATGTCCTTTACAAAAAATCGATGCTTTTAAATAGACCCTAAAAATATTCTTTAAAAGAATCCACGCCTATAGATATGACCTAAACATATTCATTAAAAAATCCTCGCTTTTGGATACACCCTAAAAATAGACTCTAAAATTATTCTTTAAATAATCTACGCTTTTGGATAGACTCTAAAAATATTCTTTACAAAATCCAAGCCCTAAAATATTCTTTAAAAAATAAACGCTTAAAAATAGTCTTCAAAAATACACGCCTATTGATAGTCTCTAAAGAATCTTAAAAAAAGTAAACGACTAAAAACATTCTTTAAAAAATAAACGCCTACAAATATTCCTTAAAAAATCTACGCCTATAGATAGGCTCTAAAAAATCCACGCTTATAGATATGCCCTAAAATATTCTTTAAAATCTACGCCTATAGATAGGCTCTAAAAAATCCACGCTTATAGATATGCCCTAAAATATTCTTTAAAATCTACGCCTATAGATAGGCTCTAAAAAATCCACGCTTATAGATATACCCTAAAATATTCTTTAAAATATACGCCTATAGATAGGCTCTAAAAAAATCCACGCCTATAGATAGGCTCTAAAAAAATCCACGCCTATGGATAGGCTCTAAAAAATCCACGCCTATAGATAGGCTCTATAAAATGTACTATTGGTATTAGATAGGCCCTAAAATATTCCTTAAAAAATCCACGCCTATAGAAGGTTATAAAAAATCTTTAAATCCACGCCTATAGATATGCTCTAAAAACAATCTTTAAAAAATCCACTCCTATAGATAGGCTCTAAAAACAATCTTTAAAAAAATCCACGCCTATAGATAAGCTCTAAATTTTTTTTCAAAAAATCCACGCCTAATGATAGGCCCTAAAGTTATTCTTTAAATCAATCCAAAACTACGTCAACAGATTTCTTTAAATTAGAAAACCTTCAATAGTTCTTCCATATAGAATTGAGACGTTCTGTTCTCTGTCCCCCCTTCGGAAACGGTGTACACATGCAACAATTTTTTTTTCAGGTGTGTACTATTGGTATTCGATTCGATTTTTACCATGTGCATGGCAAAAAAAGGCAACACCATCAACCATTACTTCTACTACCACTACGACAACAATGCCTGCCTGCCAGCCCGACTGTCTTCCTTGTTGTTTTGGTTGCGGCGGCACCTCCTCTTACCACGCTTGCCTGCCTGCCTGTCTGTTGCAGCTTACCGAACATAAAGAAATTAACACAAACAAAATTTATTATCTTTCTTTGTATCTCTCAAGTGGATATTGTTGTTCTTATTGTTATTGCCCAGGTTGCATGCGATGATGAGGGCGAGAGGAGGGAACTCTGGTGTCTTATTGTACACATACAACAAAAATCCGAGGTGTTCTTATAAGTTATATACTTACTTACTCTCTGGTGGTGATGGCAGAGTGTTTGCCAGATATTTTAAAAATAATCTTAAACGTGGTATTTAGGGCTTGTGGATAGGCCCTGATAATTGTTTTTATGGTCCATCTATAGGCCAGGCGTGTTTTTTAAGGAATATATTAAGGGCGCTGGCGCAGCTTTTTTTAAAGAAAAAGCTTTTTTAAGAATATTTTTGGGGTCCAGGCTTGGGCTTTTTAAGGGATAATTTTTAGGTCTATCCACTGGATGGATTATTTTAAAGAATACTTTTTGGGCGTGGAATATTTTTGAGGAATATTTTTGGGCCCATCCGTAAGTCTGAATTTTTAAAGAATATTTTTAAGGTTCACCTATAAGAGTAGACTTTTCCATGAATACATTTTGGTAAATTACTTTAGAGATGCAATCATAACAATCTGGTAACCCCAAGCAACGTCTACTCCTGATCATTGCAACAACAACAAAAAACTCTTATTGACATAGTCCAAAAAATGAAAAGAACAACGACAATTATAAGAATGTCAAAATGAAAATGAGAAAAAAAGGTGAACAAATATTCACACATACACACACACCTACACACCCATACAAAAGTAGGCATGAGAACCTGTATTCTCCAAAATAAAAGAAAAATAAAAACAACAACACAAAAATTAACGAATAAATCTCTGACTTGGTGGAAGAGAAAAAAATATATCTACCCAAAGTGTCTCTGGAAATTGGTGCTGTGTGTCGCGAACCAGGCCTAAACTGACCAACCTGGTGGTGCTGGTAGGTAACCATAGACACACATACACACGCACACACATTTTAATGTAAGTCTTGTGTGTTGTGAATTGATTTTTAAATTCAGCCTGTAAGAAGATTCCTGTTGTGTTGCTAGCCACCGCCGTTCTCATAATTGTAGAGAATAACGACAACAACAATAACTGATGACCACCTCTTCTTGGTCATCAGAATGACTGGCCATCTGTATGTGGATGGACTTGATTTAGAGGTGCATTACAATTATATTAATTTGAAAATGTTACAGAAATAAAAATGAATTCTTTTTACCGGCCGGCCGATCGGCCTGCTGATTCGCTGGATGTATGGTCACTTACATGTAGAATTCACGTGTGTGCATACATCACCCCAACCCATCCCATAGATGTTCATGTCCACCTGTATTGTGTATTGTATGTTGCACATGTTGCCGCAATATAAAATATGTACTTTGGATTTCGGGCATATGTTCGCCGGGGTACATGTGTTTGTGTGTGTATTAGGGGAAGTCGAACAAAGCTTTCAACTCAAATATTGAAATTTTACTGGTTAAAACAAAACGAATAACTTCAATGCATATAGTACTACATAGAGTTCTGGGTGTTGGCGAGGCAATTAATTAGGATAACTTGGTGGCATTTAACAACTTGAGGCCCATAAACCATATTGACCTGACACTCTGACCATATCACCACATTAAAAAACAATTAAAATAAACTAGGAAAACATTTAATTCTGCCATACCTTTGACCTTGTCTTCAAATTAAAAAAAATGTTTAAAATAAAATTTTTCTCAAACGTTCCACCCTAATATACAAATCCTATAAATTACTCCCTTTGCATATGTATCTGTGTATAACCCTTCCCTGTTATCGAAATGGTGTTAAGTGAATATAACCATCTTTGCCCATATGTTTTCCGGGAAGATTTGTGTGTTGCTTTGTTTTTAGGTGTGTGTGTGTGTGTTTGTAGGTCCTTAAGGCCAAGTTAAGACTGTCATGGTTAGCTGTGTTGCATTCAATGATTTATTGTTATTA